AATACCCAATACCAAATATTGATGAAATTTTGGAAAAACTTGGACGCTGTCAATATTTTACCACACTTGATTTGGCGAAAGGATTCCACCAAATCGAAATACATGAAAAAGATATTCCAAAAACAGCATTTAGCGTGGAGGGCGGACACTACGAATTTTTACGTATGCCATTTGGACTGAAAACAGCTCCAGCCACCTTCCAACGCTTAATGAATGAAGTTTTGGGCGATCTTACTAATACAATTTGTTTAGTATATATGGATGACATCATCATATTTTCAACCTCTCTTCAAGAGCATATAGAATCCATAACAAAGGTTTTCCAGAAACTCAAAGAAGTTAATTTGAAAATCCAATTAGATAAAAGTGAATTTATGAAAAGGGAAACGAAATTTCTCGGGCATGTAGTATCAGAGAATGGTATCAAACCAAATCCTGAAAAGATAACTTGTGTACAAAATTTTCCCCTACCGAAGACACAAAAAGAAATAAAGCAATTTCTTGGACTAGCAGGCTATTACCGAAAGTTTATTAAAGATTATTCAAAGATAGCCAAGCCAATGACAAAATGCCTTAAAAAAGATTCTGTTGTTGATATTGAAAATTTAGAGTATATAGAATCTTTTGAATCACTTAAAAGATTATTGACAAATTCACCTGTTCTAGCTTATCCTGATTTTAACCAAAAATTCGTACTTCAAACCGATGCTAGTAAATTCGCTCTGGGAGCTGTTCTATCGCAGAATGGACATCCCATTTGCTATGCTAGTCGTAGTCTGAATGGTGCCGAACAGAATTATAGTACTATAGAAAAAGAACTACTTGCAATTGTATGGGCAACAAAGTATTTTAGACCATATCTCTTTGGAAGAAGATTTTTGATCGAGACCGACCATAGACCGTTAGTCTGGTTATTTTCTATAAAAGAACCTAATTCTAAGTTAGTTAGATGGAGATTACGCTTACAAGAATACGACTACGATATCAAGTATAAAAAAGGTATTATGAATGGAAATGCAGATGCATTATCCAGAATAGAAATTAATTTCAATGACGATGGAAGTGCACCTAGCACTATTTCAGAAACAAATAATCCTCTAAATTTTTACAAGAGACAAATTATAATTCATAAAACACAGTCAGGATCGTTGAAGATAAAAAATGAACAGATTTTTAATAATAACAGGAAGACAATTTATGCTAAAACTTTTGACGAAAATACTTTAATCACTCTATTAAAAATCCATTTTAATCCAGACAGATCTAACGCAATTTTTGTTAATGATGAATTAGTTTTTAACGAAATGAAACAAACTTTTGACAAATACTTTGGGGAAAACGAAAACTTTAAGATCATACGTTGTAAATTTCTCCTTAAGGATATTACAGACGAAAATGAGTTGACGGAAATAATAGAAAAAGAACATTTAAAAAATAACCATAGAGGAATTAATGAAAATTTTGCAGAATTAAAAACCGAAATCTATCACCCACAACTAAAGTTACGTATAACACAGTTCATTAACAATTGTGACGTTTGTAACAAAGAAAAATATGAAAGAAACCCCATTAAACAACAATATAGAATTACTGAAACACCTAATAAACCCGGAGAAATAATTCACGCGGACGTATTTTATAGCTTAGATAAAACATTATTTCTTACCTTTTTAGACAAATTCTCAAAACATGCTCAAGCTATTAGGATAAAAAATAGATCATGGATCGAATTTAAGAAAGCACTTTCTCAATATCTTTCTGCAGTTGGAAGTATAGAGAAATTAGTTATGGACAATGAACTAGGTTTTAAGGCAATACCCCTTAGAGAGTTTTTAAGGGAGCAGGAAATTGAAATTCACTATACCTCAAATAATAACCATACTTCAAATGCAGACGTCGAAAGACTCCACAATACCATTAATGAACATATCCGAATTTTAAAACATGACCCCAACCGAGAAACAGAAAGTGTTGAAGAAAAAATGTATAGAATCATAATGTATTATAATAATACTATCCATTCAACAACTAATAAGAAACCAATAGATTTTAAAAATGGAAAAATAAGCCAAAATGAATATCCACTAATTAAAGAAAAAATAATGAAAACCAAGGAAAGGATCATAAACAAACTAAATGAAAACCGCGAGAATGTAGACATCCAAACAGGTCCAGTCTATTTAAATGATAAACGTGGTGGGAAAAATCATTCTAAATTTCGAAAGGTAATTGTGACCGAACTAGACTCTGACCATGTAGTAACAGATAAGAATCTAAAATATTATAAGTCACATATAAAAAGAAAAAAGAAATTTCAAAACATTAACTAGCAACAGACTTCAACATAATATAATTACTACATTATATTTTTAGATGAAATTACAAATAAATCTTTTATTACTCACTTCAATTGTGAACATTATCAACTGCCAACTAATGGAAATACACGACTTATCTATAAACGAAGGATACATCCCAATTAAAGACGGCAACATAAGGATCATCGATCATTACCGAAGAATTTATCATATTATTAATGTAACTGATTACTACAATACTATAGAAATAATAGAGAATAATATTAATTCGTTACATGGCTCACTATTTGAGTCAACGTCGTTATTGGATACAACTATAAATAATTTTCATATTTTGAAAATTAAACTAGGGAATTTATCACCAAATTTTAGAGTTAGACGAGGTTTAATAAATGGTTTAGGCAAAGGGTTGAAATTTATAACAGGAAATATGGATAGTGATGACGAACAGGAAATCAGATCCTATCTTACAAATTTAACGACAATTTATAATTCTAACTCAAATGATATAGCAAACATTGCGCGCATAAGTAAAATTCTTTCTACACAGATTCAAAACATAACAACTCATATTAATAGACAACAATATATAGTTAAAACGTACATCAACAAGTTCCGTAATGAAATTGAAAATAAGATATCTTCATTAGAAGACGAAATAGATTTCATTAAACACATTTACCAAATTAACAACGACATAAGTTTACTCAGAAATCATATAGATGATATCGCAGGAGTTATATTTACTAGTAAATTAAACATAATACCAACAGACTTACTCGACGAACAAGAAATTGAATTAATAGACGACTTTGAAAAATATACTAAGACAAAAGTTGCCGTTTCCTTTGAAAAAGACCAAATTATCATCATCCTCTCCATTCCCCAATTTTCCAAATCATCCTTTGAACAAATAATCCTCGAACCAATGCCTAATAACATGAATAAATCAATTCTTCTTAAGGAAAATAAAATTTTAATAGACGATAAGCAAAACGCATATTATTCAAATAAAACTTGTTTATATAAAAACCTTAAAAAAATTACCGACCTATGTATCTCGGGCATTTTAAAGAATAAAACAGCAAATTGTATCCTTAAAGATAATAAGAACACAGAAGTAAAAGAATTAAAAGAAGGAATAATTTTATTCAAAAATTTCTTTGGAAATTTCACTAATACTTGTCATTCTGAAAGAAAACATACTAATATAAGTAAAAACTTTATAATTAAATTCGAAAATTGTTTAATCAATGTTGGAAACTTAACATTTAAAAATGAAAAACTAATAGTTAAAGAAAAATTAATACAAACCTCTCTTTTAAAAGAAATAAAAGAAAATAGAACATATAATGAAATAAATCTAGAGGACCTATATATAAAACAAATAAAATATGAAGATAATTTTACCAGAACTCAAGAATTAAACAGAATATATAACATAGCTACAAATAGCACCACAATAACAATATTAATTATATTGCTAATTATTATTCCTATATTTTGTAAAAGAAGGGCAACCATTCTCCAAATTTCGTCGGAGCCTCAATCTAACGGAGGGGGAGTTATGATATCACCCCATCGCGTCATTATTTAAATGGTTACCTTTCTTAAATAACACACACGCGTTTCCTGTTCTTCATGCACTTGCTTCTTTATTTTTTTTTTTTTTTGTTGTTGTAATTATTTTTTGTGTGCTTACTTGTTGGAAATATAATTCAGCACACTTATGCTGTTGACCCTAGAAATTGCAACTTTAGCAATTTACCTGGGAAACTAAAATGTTGGGAAATATAATTTAATATAACACGCGTATGCAAGTAATCAATATTTTTTGAAATAAAATAATAAACGTGCAGAAGAACAAGAACGCTTAATAAGCACTTTAATTTAATAAATAAAACCGAAATTATGTTTTTCAATTAGTCTAAGAATAGTACTCAAATAAAGTGGTAGCAGAAGCTACAAGAAAATAAAACAAAAAGAATTTTGTTTTTTTTATTGACTAGTAAAAGTCAAACCAAAAGTGCTATGATCGTGCAATTATCCGCATACGTTACGATCTCTATGCCGTGTAGATGGTAAGGAATTCCGGAAAGGTAAAGGATTAACAGTTCACGTCACGTTGGGAAACTTCCTATTTCACTCTATATTTGTTGAAATACTGATCCTCAAAGAAATATTTCCTTAAACATTTCACGACGGTTGTTGAGCTGGTCTTTCCAGACAATTTCCAAACAGAAACACAGTTTTTGAACTGCCGGTAAAAATGATCATAAAAAACATCTTGCCTTCCTAAATTTGACAAGTTGAATGTAATGTTGATAATTTTATATACAACTATGAGGGCTTTTCTTTTTATCCTCTGTAAGAATTTCAAACTATTGCCTGCCAATAGTGGCATTGAATCAATGCCCTGTACAAGAATAGTTAGTTTTCTCATTAAATATATTTTTGAATTTGAAATGCAATGTTAGTGAAACTTCTTTCATCAAATCTTCTATATTAATGGACCCTCAATCACATATGGCATTTAAACAAAAATGTCACCATAAATCTTAAATTCTAGGTAGCATTTCTTTCCAATTGGAACTGGAACTGGCGCCATAGCATACACGCATCAATTCATTAATATCAAATTAAAACTTATTATATTCTTTCTATTCAATTCCTCCAACTCACCTGCATAGATGGCCTCAATGATGACATCTTCCAAATGACGAACATTATCGATTTCCAACTCCTCCAGGAGCATTTCATAGGGTATCGATTTGTTTTGTATGGCCAGCGAAACAATGGTCAAATGTTGCAACTTCTTTTGCATTGCCGCCGTTAGCTCCAAATAATCCTCAGGTTTTTGGCGATATTGTTTATAGGTGCCATAGGCAAATAAATTCAAGGTGTTGTAATACTTGACATTGTCACCCTCCTTGAGCTAAAAGAACAAAAGAAACCCCCCATTTAAGAGACAAACACATATTTCGTGACAATTTCACAACTCACCGCCTCAATGTTGGGCATCACCAACAGCTCACCGAAAACATATACACCCGGTGCCTCCAGGACTTGTTTGATCAACTCCAAAATGGCAGAACCATGCGCCGTCTTGGCCAGCAAACAGAATTGTTGCAATTGTTTGCTGGATGTGTCACTGGTGTGGGCCACAGGCTCATCACTGCTCATGAGTATGTCTTGGGTCATGTTGTAGTTGTTGGGGCTTTTTCAATTAATACCGAACACAATCTTTTTGCAAGATATTATAAATTATTGAGGAATCTAAGATTTATTCGTTTTTCCCGACAACCGGCGGACACTTTTGTTTTGTTATTTTTTCTACTAAACACAATCAAACGCCTGAACGTCAATCGTCATGAACTGGAATGTCACAGAAATAACAGCTGTTTTGTGGTGATGCCAATGTTGACGTTAGTAAAAAAACGCTCAAGTGATTTTTCGTTGGTTTTGTATGGGGTGATTTCACAAAAATGTGAAATGAAAAATATTCACAAAACAAGAATTTAAATAAAAATAATTTTAATGACAATAATGAAACCTGGCGTTTACCTAAAACATGATTTGCATTATTTAAAGAATACAATAAAAAGTAAATAGACGGAATCCCAGCATAAACATGGAAGCATGGTAGAATTACAAGGTAACCCTTTCAGGCCAGCTGGTATCAATTTGATATGTCAAAAAATTGTTGTAATTTGAATTCGCCTTCATTTACACATAAGAAAATTGTTGCAAGATTTCAAACTTTAACAATGCTATTGATAGAAAATCGAGATTTTACGTTTTTATAGAGTATGAGGGAAAAAGTGTATATTCAACATATGGTAGGCATAGGTAATATGGAGATCTAAAATTCGTGGATATTTGAAATAAGTGAAACAGGGAATCAATTTCATTTAGGAAATAAACCGATACATGGAATTTCATCATCTTATTTGTACGGATTTTCAACTATGTTATACACTATAGGGCTTCAACAGTGAAAGGTGAATGATTCCAAAGCATATTGGATTGGTTTGGGGAACAAAATATTGGCAATTTTTGGGGTGTGATTAAATATTGAGATAATTTTTTTATTTCAAATTGTTCGAATGTATTAAAGTTATCTATGCTTAAAAGACTTCCTGTCTGCTATACATTTCATAGCTGAGCAAATAATATGCCTGAACTCAGAGTAGACTCAGCCCCCCTGTATCTTCTGCAATCTTTGATCCAAATCTTAAGTAAGCCTGAGGAGTAAATATACCCTAAAGTACCTTTTAGGTAGCATGTCACTACAGCGAGAAAGCTGACGATGTAGCAAAAGAAAAAAGGGTACACCCCAGAACCACCACAAAACCTAATTTTAAAGCATCAAAAATAATTTTCCGGATATTTCCTTTAAAGAACATTATCGCTGTTGAATATGAAATCAACGTTGCCAACGTTACCAAGACTGCATGCTGTGTAAGGATAATGAAGAGATAACAACGATTGGACATCTATTATCGCAAATGTCCTTCGTTGGCGCGCTGGAGACTACAATTACTCCATTTCCAGTCTATGTGATTTTCAAAAATGTTGTATTGAACGTGCTATAATCAAACCAAGATGCAGCGGCTTCAGCATTACTTTCAATCGATGTTGGAAGTTTTGAATATTTGCTTTTGTAATAGAAAAAAACACAATTTTGAAAATTTTTAATTCAATATTTTGATTGGAAAAATAATTTGCCCCAAATTTTGTACTTCAAATCAATTCGCCCTGACTACAACTTTGACATATCAAGTTTCCAAAAAAGTTGCTTTGTTGTAATTTTCGCCTATGTTGCTACCTGGTATTTCTACCATGCATGGAAGTAATCAGCTGATATGTCAAAACAAAACAATTTGTTCGAAATAAAAAGAAATTGAGTATTCAAAATTAAAAATGAATCGAAAATATCAAATATCAAAATAAAGATGTTTTAAAATTGGTTGTCCAAATTTTAATCGCCGCAAGCAGAAGAGTTGCAAGTGATTGGAAAAATATATTTGTTTAGCGAAAATTTGCAAAATTCAATAAAAAAAACTGTCAAATTTCGCCGCTCTTTTTTGCAGAATTTTTGTGTTAACAGACAACTATCAGTAATAATTTTCAACACTTTTTACAAATTTTTTAGTAACCTGAAACACCTAATATTTGCATTCCGGATATATGATAACGAAAAACAATAAATATTGTTGAAAATTCAAAAAATAATGAAAAATTTTAATTTCGGCGGGGCCTAACTTTTAAAACCCTCCCTGGTTGAAGAAAACATTTTTATATAAAAGTATCTGAATTCAAATGTGTTCCACTTTAAACTACAAATACCAGTTGGATAATGCTGTTAGACTTTTCAAAAAAAACATAAAGTGGGTAAGGCGGAGGCATGGTAGAAGAATATAGGTATAGGCGTCGACACAGCTGCTGGGACAATGAACTGTCAAACCAATTTTGGAATTGAAAATGTTGAATGAAAAATTATTTAAATTTGTAAAAATTGTTGAAAAATGCAAATTATAATAGCCTCCGAATGACGTAGTATAAGAAAACATATAAAAATCTACTTATATTTGAAAAATCATTTATTTACTTATTTTTTTTTTTTTTTTGACATATCAATGCTCCCAAGCGTTGATGCATCTACCTGTATTCTTCTGCCATGGTAACATGACACACCTAATATTCCAATTCCGGAGATATGATAACGAAAAACAATAAATATTGCTGAAAATTCAAAGAAATAATTAAAAAAGAAGATTAAGTTCGGCGGAGCCTAACTTTTAAAACACTCCCTGGGTAAAGAAAACATTTTTATATAAAAGCATCTGAATTCAAATGTATTCCACTTTAAACTACAAATACCAGTTGGATAATGCTGTTAAACTTTTCAAAAAAAAAAAAACATAAAGTGGGTTAGGCGGAGGTCATACCAAAACGGAAAACTCCATAGACAATTTTATACTTTGAGGATTGTCATCTAGCAAATTTGAAACAATTGAAAAATGTGAATAAGATGATCAAAATACCGAGTATCGGAGGGTATCGTTATATGGACCTAAATTTTCAATGTTCTGCCGCCGGAGCTAGAACCCATTATCACCTACAAATACCAATTTTTAGACAAATCTGTGGAGATCGTTATATGTGCGCTGTAGGAAAATGTGGACATAAATTTTCAATGTTCTGCCACCGCAGCTAGAACCCATTATGAAGTACAAATACCAATTTTTAGGCAAATCCGAAGAAAAATGTGGCTAAAATCATCAAAATACTGAATATCCGGAGGTACCATTATGTGGGAGCCATACGAAAAAGTGGACTTATACATACTATGTTCCGCCACAGGAACGAAAACCCATTACGAACTACAAATATCAATTTGTGGACAAATCCGTATAAAAATGTGGCAAAAATCATCCAAACACCGACTATCGGCAGGTACCGTTATATGGGGGGGCCATATAAAAACGTGTACCTATATATACCCTGTTCCGCCACCGGAGCTAGAACCCATTACGAACTACAAACACCAATTTTTAGATATTTTTTTTTTATCATCAAAATACCGAATATTGGGAGGTACCGTATGAGGGCTATAGAAAAATGTTTCGCCACCGTAGCTAGAGCCCATTATGACCTACAAATACCAATTTTTAGGCAAAATACCGAATATCTGTAGGCACTGTTACATAGGGGCTATACGAAAACGTAGACTGATATAACTCATTTTCAATACCAACCATCCTGGACACAATACAAATTGTTGTGCCATATATTGAAGCTCTGTGTCGTGATTTCAACAGACAGGCAGACGGATATCGTTAAATCGACTTAGAATTTTTTGCTGATTATGAATACATGTACTTTAAGGCGTCTACGACGAATATTTTGGGATGTTACAAACGGAATGACAAAGTTCAAGGTGGAGGATATAAAAAAGGAAAGTTCGACTGAGCCACATTTTCTTTACCATCCAGCATGAACGAGCTGAACTTTTTATACCAAATATGATTTATGGCCTCAAAATCCCTAAAATTTGGAGATTCCTTAATGTGGGCACTGAGAAGTAAAATCACTAATTGATAGCTCGAAATGTCGACATACATTGTCATTAAAGCTGATTGCTTTAAAATACCGAAAAACTGAAGAAACTCTAATAAAGAAAAAATAAAAAAAAATATCCATATAACCTACCCCATGGTAGAATTAAGAAGGAAAAACCATGCAAGCATATGTTCACAATTTTTTTTTTCAAAATTATTTATTTGACAACATCTCATTGTCAAAATGTATATTTGTAAATCCATAGTATACACAGAAATCAGAGATGGGAATCTGTTTTTTATACAGTGACATTTGACAAGTTAAATTACAGAAAATGCAGAGATGGGTAGTCATTTTTGAAATGACTTTACCTCCTTAATTTTACCATGACCTACCCAGTGAAAATTCCAAATTTTATATTAAAGTTGATTTGGTTGAAAATTGGGACCGAGACCTTAAAAATACTGAAAACCAGGATGTAATGTTGTATGTGGCCCATTAGATTGAAAATTGCGGCCCAAATACCAAAATCTTTAAAGTACCTATAATATCGTGACTATACCTAAATTTGATATTGAAAAAATGTCAAAACTAGTAGATTCTTGTGGGCTTTGGAACAGAACATTAAAGTTTTCATTGCAATTTGAAGCACATCTCATGACTCCAATTAATTACGAGTTGATAAAACCGCTACAACGACAACATTGTATAGTGACAGCCTACAGCTGTGTCACATTTCTAACTGGGGTACTGTACACACATAATATTGTACACAAACTGTATTGTTAGAAGGGGAGAAATAAACAGGTTTGTTGTTCAATACTATCAATCACTAGATGGCGCTATTTTACATTCCGTCATGCTTTCTTATTCTAATGGGAATAATTGGAATTTGGGGTATTTTCCATTAAATGCCTTTAGTTTTGAAATTTTTACGATACTTTTGACTTTCCATTATTATTTTCCCATCGAAGTAAAGAAAATTGGGTTATACTTCACAATTACGTCCTTTTTTCTAGTAATATGCTTTTTTAAAAGTTTTCTGCACTTATTTTGCTGATGTTTACTGAGAAGTCCCCTAACTTGTCCCTTTCCATTCCACAACATTAATCACTGGGGAATTAGGCAAAAGCAACAGCTACTTCGATGGGCCTGAATTGAAAAAAAAAAACTTTTCTGGTATCTTTTTAACCGTTTACCTCTTTTTTGGTGGTTTTTAGAA